TGGGTCATTAAGTGCTGCCTCCCTGGTGAACTTGTGAAGTGATCTTAATCTTCCTGGGGACTGATGAAAGAGCAGCATGAAAAATGGGACAAGTTGTGTCTGAGCCTCCACCTCTGTTGAGGGAAGGATTTTCCACTTTGGCATAAATGGATTCCTTCACTCCTCTCTCAGACCACCTATCTTCTCTGTCCAAAATGTGAACATTATTGTCCCCAAATGAGTGTCCATTTTCCTTTAGATGAAGGTAAACTGCTGATTCTGGTCCTGTGTTGTTGCTCTTCCTGTGCTGGGCCATCCTCTTGTGTCAAGGCTGTTTGGTTTCTCCAGTGTAGAGCTCTGAACGCTCCTCGCTGCACTGGATTGCATCTACTACTTTGCTCTTTTTATTTTTGGGTGCTCGATCTTTAGGGTGTACAAGCCTCTGTCTCAGTGTGTTAGTGGGTTTGAAAAACACAGGTATGTGGTGTTTTCCAAATATCCATTTTATCTTCTCTGACACACCAGCCATCTAAGGGATGACAAGATTCTTCCGTGGACTCTGGGTCTCAGCTCTGTCTGCCGTTTTTTTTGTTGGAAACCTATCAAACCAAAAGAAAAGGAGTCCAGTTGCCATGACTCAACCTCCAGATAATTCCACCTGGATGACTGAGAACCTTCATCAACATCTGTACTGAATGTGTTATTTGGGTTTTCTTTCTCATTGAGTGCACAAGCATTAGATGTCTGCGCTTTCAAATCTTGTGCAGAGTTTGTAAAATTTTTCTTCTCCTTTGGTGTTAGCACTTTCAGACCCAGTTGCAAAAGAAAGCTGTATGCTGAACTTGCTGCTTTCTCTTCCGGAACCCAACCTTGTCACATTCCTTTTCCTCCTGGATCATTTGAAAAGGTAAGGCTGAAGCTCCTTTTTTCTAGCATTCCCAGCCATTATTGTCGAAGACATTCCAGAACATCAGTCAATATGACCAACTGTACTTCATGTAAAAAGAGCTAGCGCAGTGGTTCTAGTGTGGTCTTCTGAAGTCCGCCGGATGGCCTGCCATAGCATCCCCACATTCGTGGGCCACCTGAGCCCCGCCTGGTCTGCAAGAGAAGATCGGTGGCTGAAAACTTTAATTCAAGCGTACCAGTAGAAGAGTACTGGAGAGTACTGGAGGCGGTTCAGGGATACTCATCCAAATCCCTTGTTTTTTTTTAAAAAAAACAGTAGTTTGATAAACTCTGTGATCTTGGTCCTTCATCTCCAAAAATGGAGCCAGCCCAAAAGAGTTACCTACCCCTAACCCCTCCTTTCAGTCTTCAGCACTTCTTTCCAGTAAGAAGGTTAGACATTCCCTTTGCCTCCATTTTGGGATCCGAGAGCCCAGGAGAAAATAAGAGGCTTAGCCCACGCAGGAGGTCAAGGGATTCCTTGGCAGAGCAGCCTTCCCACCCCAAATCCAGCCAGCTTGCTGAGGGTGGCAGCGACAGAGATTACATGTTGGGGTATTCCTTTTCCCTCTTCCCCAATTGATGCTCGTAGGAGAGAATTACTGACCTTCAGAGGTCTTTTCTTGGGGCAGGTCTGAAGTGGGTGGGAGCTGAGAGCTTGCTCACTGTTGGAGAAGCAGCAATTGCATGTCCTCTTCTGAAAGCCTCCAACTGACTGGCTGAGGAGTTTGATATGTAAAGTTTGCTTGCCAGTTGACCACAGTATCCTTCTGTACTGCTGTGAATGGTGGAAATTGGGGGCATGATGTTTTGTTGGTTCCACATCTACCTGAGCAGGGGGGTCCAGAGGGTGGGCAACTTGTTTTTTCAAGCACATAAATTGATGAAGATTACTGTGGATGTATCACCATCCTGAAAACAGAATCATTTTTATTTATTAGACTTTTTATGCCAATAAATCTTTGTGATTCCCAGTCGTTTACAAGAACATACAATAAAAACAGTTTTGTGCAGAAAGAGAAAACAGAAGGGGTTAGTTCTTCTTTCCTCATGTCATTTTTGTAATCCATTCTGGACCTAAATTGTTGTTCCTTTTCAAAGTGGCGTTTTGCATAAATTGTCATGGCATTTTAGACACAATTGGATCAGTAACAGGACATGTGAGGTAAAATCTGTCTGTTCAAGGCCATTTGTTTTCCATCTGGTCCTGAGCTGACAAGATGTAGACATTAGGCCAGTGTTTCTTAAACTGCCTCACCCAATTTTTTTATTTTATTTGTTTGTTTATTAGATTTTTGTCCTGCCTTTATTATTTTTTCCCCCAATCTTGAATCTTATCCTCACCCCCACAAACAACCAGACTCTGTTGTTTTACACAAGTGTCTCAGCAGCGGCAGTCCCAAACTGGAGCCTTGATTCACAAACAAGCAATTACAAATTGCTCCATTACCCCCAATATATGCCCAAATTACCCCCTTGGGAATAATTACCCCCAGTTTAAGGATCACTGCATTAGATCATAACTTACTTTCTTTTCTATCCCCATCCTGTCAACTGTTCCAGAGTTGCTGAAAAGGAGAACATCAACAAGATGTCACTTCACAACCTGGCAACTGTTTTTGGACCAACACTACTCAGACCGTCAGAAAAGGACAGCAAAATTCCTGCAAATCCAATGCAACCCATAGCCATGACTGACAGCTGGTCACTAGAAGTCATGTCCCAGGTAAAAAGAAGTGGATAGTCTAGGGAACTTTGATCTTTGAATGTCTACTGGGGTCCTCTGATCAACCAGTGTTTCACAGGGGCCCATACTTCTTCTAGGGCCCACTTAGATCAAAGGGAAAATGAGAGAACAGCCCATAACCCAAGGACAGTAAAAGTTGGAAGGAAAGGCTTAGATCACCCTGTCTAGCTGATTACCATAATCCACCTGGGGAAGTAAGCAAAGTTAAAATTTCATGTAACTAGATCTCAGTCACCATGTTGGCAGCCATTCTATATCCCCCCTTCTGTCAAGGAGCTCAGAATGGGGAAAGGTTGTTCAGGTTGAAAGAAAACTGCTTGCCAATGGCTACCCAATGACTATGTTGCTAAATGAAGGTTTGAACATGGGTACACTTCTGGCCTAAGTTACATCGAAGCAGCCCAAAATATTTAAGTTTAATTTGTCCCATTCCTTTCTCAGAAGAATTGGGAACACGTTCTTTTCAGGAGATACCAACTAGGGAGGGAAATAACTTGAAAGTAGATGACAAAAAGGGGGGAGGGGAAAGAAACACCCATTATTGAAACTATAGAAAGTAAGTTGGTGGCAAAGAAATGTTCCTTACTAAATAGTTTGTGTTGTGCTTTGTCTTGACAGGAAGTTTATAAACCCTGAAAGGCTCTGATGGGACATTTGCCAAACAGTTTGTCCAGGAGTTGAGGACTGAGAGCATGGGGACACTGTTTTAGCAGGCAAAGCCCATGACCTTGTTGTCCATGGCTTATAAGATCAAGCAGGCACAGGACTGATTACCTGATTGAAAGACTGTGAATACTCTTCTTCAAGATGAATCAGTTCCGGTTGCTTTGAACTGTGAACTATCACCTTCTGAATTTAACCAGTTGATACTATTTCCTTGCTGTTCAAGGTGTTCTAGTCAGATGTAGCAGAGTAAATCCAGGGACTGTTGGGTGATACAGTGTATGTGGACCCTTTGAGATAGGAGTTAGGCCCAGGTTATATTTATGCCAGAAGGAAAAAGAAGAGTGCAACCATACTGATTCTCTGGGATTTAGAACGTTGACACTGTTGACCGTAATTTCTTCCCAAATATCTGGAGTTGGGGATTCAGTCAGGTGCTACTACTGTTCTGTTCTTACCCAGGTGGCTGACTCCAGGGCGTAGTGCCAGAGTAGTTATCCTCTATGCAGTCCCATTGTAGGCATGCTACAAGGTCCCAGGATTTCCACTTTGTGGCCCATGCTGTTCAAAATGTATGTGACGCTGCTGGAGGAGAGAATGCCCAGAACTGGAATGAGCTATCACCAATACACAGAACAGAGTCTGATTCAGGTGATGTGACGTAAATGCTGGACCAGTGCTTGGGTTTTGCAATAGACAGGGTGAAGCAACTAAACTGAAGCTCCATCCACCCACAGCAGAAGTGCCCTGTCCAGAAAACTGTACTCTTGAGGTGCGGTCAGTAAACGTGTGTTCGTCTATCCAAGCTGAACAAATTCAGCCTGTCCTGATTCTTTCTAAGGGAACTGAGTTCTAGATCCATTTTTGCCAGTGGAGATGCAGTAGAGATGCCTTTGTGGCCCGTGTTTGGCCGGTGAAAGGACCACGGCCTCCCTTTTCCGATAGAAGCTGTAGAAGAGCTCCCTGGGACAAGCATTGGGAGCCTCTGGTGCCTAAGTTATTCTTGCCTCAGAGTGTCAGGGCTGCTTGATTGTACTAGTAATACTAGCCATTGCTTTTAGGCCAGACTTATAACTAAGGCATACTTTTATGGATAAGGATTTTCATGAATTTGCATGTGTTTTATTATATTTTGGTTATGTTTCACAACCAGCTCTAGGAACATTTTTAAAGGATGGAAATATATATTCCTTGTGGATTGTACGTACCTCGGCATATCTCGTATTTTATTCTCCTGTTTTGTTGCTGGTGTTTGGCACCCAGGTTCCATTGTATAAAGCAGGGGCCGTATAGCAGAGACATAGGGGCGTAAAACTGGAGCTGGAGGGGACCACAAGGCTCAGTGTCCAGGAAAGCCAGCTGTCCTTCAGAGGATATCCTGTCCAGTCTTTCGAAAGCCTCCCATGGCTTCTCTTGGTCACTCCTGACACTGCGGTTGCTCAATACGTCAAGCCGAATGCCTCCCACTGACTTGTTCCCTCATGTCTTCTGCTCTGCAGGTTCAGGTTCTCCTCTATTTCCTGCAACTAGAGACTATTCCCACCCCGGACAGCAAGAGGCAGAGCATCCTGTTCTCCACTGAAGTGTAGAAGCCAGCCCAGCCAGGGAAGAAGGCTTGTGGTGTTTGCTCTTGGAACTGCTCCATCCGTCCTTCCAACGTTCCTGCCTTTCTTTGTCCACCAAGAGGAGACAAAGCATCCCCCCCCCCGCCGTCTGGGAAGCAACAGGCGGAAGATTACTTTCTTCGGAAGATTCCCTTCATCGGATTAGGAAACGAACTGGGCGGAGCAACAGCACTGTGAGTTTCCACTAGCAGAGGAGAACGAAAACGATGGGCGACGGAACTGCATTAGGAAGGAATGTGCCAGAAGGAATTCCTGTGGGGATTTTTGTAATGGAATTAATGTTACGTTTGGGAAGTTTTGAGAGTCCTTGCTACTTGGACTACTTCGAAGAGCAGAAGGATACTGCTTTTATGGCCACTGTTTTGGTTTCTAATGGCATACTACAAGGATGTTCACCCATAATAGCCACTACTTGCAAATTTAAACCTTGATTTAAGCAAGTTTCTTTTTAATAAATAAATTAATTAGAAGCTTCATGCACAGTCAGAACTTAAAAAAAAAAAAAAAGCTTTTTCTTGCCTTTTATTCTTTGACTCTCTTTTGGTGGAAGTTTTTACCGAAGACACATCATCTAATAACTTAGAGAATAAAGGCTGGAGACTGGAAGAGAATGAGATGATGACCAGCTCCTAACTTATCCTCCTTTTTCTGTGGACCAAAAAATGATGGAAGGTGTGGAGAAGTTGCTAAATTCTTCAGGCATTCTAAGTATTAGAGAAGATAAGCTGCAAAATCACGCCCTTTCAGATGCAAAGATTTCGTCCCTAGTTTTCTACCCAATCACAGCATAAGGACTACAACCTATTTATACAATGGTTTCTGAGCAATTGGGCAAAAGCCAATTGTCTCACGTAACTTTTCTTAGCTCAGCTGGTGGGGGCTGGGAGGGCAGGAGGGCCCCTGGGTTTTTAGGTTCTTTGTTGAGACTTTGGAAAGACTTTGCTTACGGAAAATATTTTTTTCACTGCCACTCTGTTTTTGCTGGGAAAGAGAAATGTTTTGATAAGATGTTTTAATAACTTGTACAATGATGATTGATGAGGGAGCATTTTATATTTTTCAGAAATTCCAACAATTTGATTTAAGATTGAATAGGCATCATTCATGAATTGTAATACTGGAAAAGAATTAATATTGGCAATCAGAAACAGGAATTCAATACAGAAGCCTAGCATAGGAAGGTATCTCTTTTTATATTATATATGGACAGGAACAATATCCTTATCAGTACCCACACAATCATGCAGTATAATTTTTGTCTTGTTAATTCAATGCCACTTTTACCAAGATGATCAGAAGTGACTTAGAAGACTAAGACTCCCAACTCTGACTTAAGGGTGAGAGACCAAGAAATGCTGGTTTTGTTCAGAGAGTGTTTATGAATAGGGAATGAGAAGCTTTCCCCACGGTTTCCCAGACTTCGGGCAAGTAACAGATTTCTGCTTATTAAAGGGGGCTAAAAAGCCATACAGAACCATGAGCCTCCACAGCTGCTCTGATCCTTGAGTTGTACAATGTCAGCTATTTTAACATTGGGAAATAGCCCATCATGGGAGTGGCCAGAGTGTGGTGTCTGACTATCTCAGTGTCTTTCATACCAGGAAATATTTAAATAGGAGTTCCATATTGTTTCTTTCTCCCAGAGTTCTAGAAGTTAAAACTCTGTTCTGTCGTCCTAGTTTAGATGGTAACGTATTTCACTTTACAAAGGTGAGATATATAAACCTTGTGCTGCCACACACGTATGTTCCTTCCTCCTCTTGTTAAAATGGTGGAATTTTTCTCCCAACTGTCTACCAAGGGAAAGGGGCTTTCAGACAAGCTCATGGAGGATAAGGCTGTCCATGGCTGGGAATCATCTCCAGGGTCCAAAAGCAGTGTCTCTCTTCATGTCAGTTGCAGGAGGAAGGTTCCTCTACAGAAGGTTCTTCTGATGCGCTGCAGCTGAAGGGTGCCTCAATGAATTGAGAGTTCCCACAGTTCCTAGCTTGCTTTAAAGATGGGAATCATTTTTGTAGGATATAGCAGAAAACAGAGGTTGTTTCTGACACCTTGAGAAGGGCAAAGCAGCCCATGTACGTAAACAAGGTCCATCTTGGCTTATTAAGCCACATGTGATTTCTGAAACCACCTGTACTAGTCTTTTTAAGAATAATCCTACCACACTGCAAATCCTGGATTTCCCCTTTTGTGGCTGTTGAACTTTGGAATGGACACCCAGGTTGTGAAGACAGAAAGTATTTAGATACTGGGTTTATTCAGCAGAACTGAATGTCCCATGGCTGTCATTTTGCAGAGAAAAGGAGGAAGCATTGTTCATCTTGTTGAAATGATTCAAGGCCACATGTTGGCCTAAGAGTCTCCTACACCTTGTCAGCAGTATCATCCTTTTCTGCTCAGTCTTGGGTCTTGCTCAAGCTTAGACATCAGATGTTTACCCACAGAACAAGGAGGAGTCCTTATCATAAGTTGTCCTGACAAATTTCCTAGCGTCCCAGCACAGTATTTGGACTAAAATGGAAGGAATAGATACCTTTCCCTCTGTTCTAAATCCTTAAATAAGTATTGTAGGCTCGCCAATCCTTCTTATAGGTCTAGTAGTATCTTATTAACAGCTGGCACAATGGGGTGGTAGAGATTGGGGGTGTTAATAAAGCTCATTTGAGTCACTAAAATCATAAGAGGTTTAAGGAAGGCTACAGTGTTGTTTTGTGAACTTGAGGCATGTCTTGAAAATTAAAGTTTTTAAGGGCTTTTATTTATTTATTTTATTGATTCCTTTAAGCAGCACGACTGCTGAATGACTGCAGTTTTCTCCTTGCATCATTATTTCATATCCAGAGCTGCAGTAATTGGTAAAGTAATCCCACAAAGGAAAATAGGCCAATTTATTCTGCTTGATTTTCTTTCTGATATTTTTAATTTATATATAGTTGTACTGTCAGTATTGAGTTGATGCTTTATATCACATAGATAAAAGGGAGACAATGTGTGTTGGTAATCTGTAAGAGGACTGCTTTAATATCCAGGCAAATTTTACATGCAGGCATGTAGGTATGGAAGAGACTGTATAATTTAAGCATTAATTTCAGTTTAATTATAAACCTATGCTTTTCTGAAAGTGATAATCTTGTGCTTCAAAAACGAATGCCTCAAATGGGATGTGAGTTGAGGGCCTCATTTTCTTTGCAAGAAGATGTAGCAAACGCAGAATCTTTCAAGTTCTTCCATTTCCCCTGTATTTTTCTAGGTCCTTATTTTTGTGAAGTGGCTCCAAGATAGTTTTCCTTGACTATGCTTTACTTTATAAAACAGCCAGTGGCTGTATTTGTACAAAACATTGAATTGCAAAATAGCCAATTCTGTTTTAATCTTACATGAATGAACAACATGCAACCCCTGGCTGTTGCTGAATGATTTTCTCCTGGAGATACAGTCCCAACACCTGGAAGATGTTGCAGATTATGCAATTTTGTGCCAGTCCAACCCATGAGATTAGTTTGTGGTTCGGTGTGTTATGTAAACCTAGGAAACTGGTTTGAATAAACCATGATTAAATTAATGGGTAAGTGTGTTATCCAAAGACAGCCAGTTACAACCCCCCCTTTTTTCCCACAAGTCCTTAACGGTGAAATTGATAAGAAAAAAAGTCAAGAACCACTTACACACAGCCTTGTTTGTCCTTCCCCCACCATATGCTCTGTCCCTTGGCAATTCTTCCATGATCCTGGAAGAATTTGGATTCTATACTCCAAATGATCAAGGGTCTCCCTGTATGTTTGAAGGGTCACAGTTGCTAGGCAGAAGCTTCTACTTCATTCTGTAGGAATGGACTATGATTAGCCAGACTAATTTGGAGAAGAAAACCTGCCCCATTGCCTCCCAAAAGTCAAGTCATCACATATAAGTTTAGCCACAATTCAATGTCCATCAGTTAAGACCTATTTACTGATTTCAATATACATGTATGATTACTGTTCATACATAAGAGAAAAAAAGATACAGTGTCACTTTGGGAATATCGGAACATCCTAGCCTCACCGGGATCCCACTAGTCTACTCGTAAGATGAAGATGAAGACAAATCTTGTAATGATTATACTGACTGCAATCATCTATGGCTGATACATTATCTTATCCCTGAATCCAGCCCATCTAGTTAACTAATGCAAACCTGGAAAACTGTCAATTGTGTAAATCATATTATCAATGTGTTTTGTAAACACAACATTTAAAGGAAGGTGGACAAGCATTTTGACTGAATTTGTTAGACCGATTCAGTCCCTAAGGCAGCACTAACTGGACCCATATTCCAGCTACATTCATGGTTGCCCAACACTGGGCTTTAAGAAGGACTGGCAAATTTCTCAGGGCACTAAGTCATAAACAAATGACCAGTGTGGTGGCTAAGCCGGAGGCAGTGAAGCGAATGCAAGGATGGTCTTTTCTGCAGAGGAAGTCCCTCCCCCCAACTGATCAGCCCGGCCTCTCAGGAAAATACCCTTGAAAGAAGGAACAGGCCCTCGCCGGTCCCCACGTAGGTTCCTCAAAACATACTGAGCAACCTATAATCAAGAAAGAGGATAATGGTCCTAAATCACTTGAATGAAAGGGTAAATAGAATAGTTTACTAATTGAGGTAGGTTGATTTAATCTCTCATTTCACTGACCTAAAACTTTAACTGGTTATGGCTTGATCTTGTTTGAACAAGCTGGAAAGCTTGACGTCAGTGCATTGGATGTACCATGAAAATCCTTTTCCTACAGCAGAGATGTGGTTATTCCCCTCCCATTCATTTTGGAGGCAGGGTAGGGAAAACCTGGGAAATGGAGGAAGGGGAAACAAATTAGACTGTAAACTTGAATCTTAGGACAACCATCTTCCTTTTTTTTTTTTAACCTGGGCAGGCTAGATACCTTGTCTGTATTGTAGAAAAAGGATCTTCACAGTAAATCCAACATACTGTTTGCCTAGAGTGAAGCAGGGCTTTGTGGAGTGGACATACCAAAACTGTTTTTTTGGGGGGGGTGTTACACCCAAAGAAGCTCTAATCCTGTTGGGAAGTCCTTTCTGTGATACCCTTCTCTCAAAAGAGGCTTCACCTGAGGCCTAAGACTGAAGCTGATGGTGCTTTATAAAGGATGGCATATGGAAACCCTACAGAAGTCTCCCCAGGGGAGTATAGGTGTTGAGGGCATGGATGTGATTCTAGTGGAATGGGCCACAATTCCCTTTGGGGCAGGCTTTATTTGAGTCTCACTGGCTGGTTTAATGCAAGCTATGATCCACCAGGATATGGTCAGTGAACCTTTGCAGTCCTGGTAGGATTGTTGATAGGAAACTAAGAGGTGGTTTGAGGCTCTGAATTCCCCTGTTCTACTCGGGTAAATCTCGATACGTGACATATACTTTGTGCCAACCCCTCTCTAATTGGGACTGGGGCCCAAGGGAGGGAGGATCGCTGGCTGGCTTGCTTGACCCAGTCTTTCAGCAGGAAGCCTGGATGGTGCAGGATGCTTCCTTGTCTGAGAATGCACCTGTTTCCAACACCTACCCGGCAGAGATTATGGCTCCCAGGAACACTGCTTTCCACGACGGGCATTCTAAGGTGAGCCTGTGCAATGACTGAAATGTGGCTGGGGTCATGCCTTGAAGTAGTAGCTGAAGTTGATGCCAACATGAATGATGTTGTAAGTAGTGGGTGGTGTTCGTAGGAGGCTCCTCTGATGTGAGGACAGGTCATCGATCCCCAGTGTTAGGACTGAGGAAAAAGCTGACATCTGCCTGGGAATCCCTACTTGAGGCCCTCCTGCGAGAACGGCCAGGAAGCCGGCTGCTGAGGATTTCCTTACAGAAAGCCACATCTCCCCGAGTTCACAGTCGCCACCTGATTCTAGCAAAATGGGTTTGCGGTAAGGAGGCACCGCCACATGCCCATAACGGCCCCGAAGCACCTCCCTACCTCAGGTGCATATTGCCCTGGCTTGCACGGCTAGGTCTGAGGGGTGGACAAGCGCGGGGTGCGTGCCCCTATTCCCCGCCAGCTCGCGCACGCAAGCGGCGGGAGACGAGGACGGTTCGCGGCTGTCGCAACCGGGCAGTAAGGTAACAAGGCACCCGTGTCCGAGGCGCGCTCGCTGGGCATGTCGTCGTGAGGGGGGAACAGCTTCGCCT